AACATCAGTTTGCCCCTCAAAATAGATAATGGTACAAGAGCGAATAACTTCCAGCACAATCTCAGTATTTTTTTTCCGGATTTCAAAGAAAAAATCAAGAATCCAACCTAAAAGAAGTAAAGCAAGTGGAAAATTATCAGTTATTTAATGCGATAGTTGCGTTTACCAGTTTTAGGGTGAGTCGACGCAATTTCTTGAAGCGTGGTGGCTTTGGGCGGCGCGGCGGCAGAGACGGCGAGCGTTCTCGACGCCAGAAAGCGAGCTCCGAGCAGCATTTTGTGCCTTTCGGCTCAGCAAGTGTCCTGTTGGCTGAATTCTAAAATTACAAATCAAAATAAATGATAAATATGTATTAAAATTTCACATTTTTTTTTTTATTAACCATCTCCAATTCTCTACTTACTCTAAATTAGAAATATCAAAATTGAACTTTCGTCTCGAGTCAAGACAATTTACGACATGAATATATTAGTACAAAATAAAATTTAAATACAACTATAAAAACAAAATTTAAAATTATTTAACAAAATAAATAATTTTATTGGTGTATGTTTTCTCAAATTAATATTTGAAAATAAAAATCAATGAGAAATTTAAAATTTGAAGAAGAAAAAATTCTACGGAGGTTAATAGTATCACACTATATCATACCGTTCACATATTGAGAATAGTGCAAATTTTCGCGCTATTCTGAAGTCGAGTTGCAATGTAGAGCAACAACGAAATTACTCTAATGTGTATAATATTTTTAAATTAATTATCTTTTGCATTTTTAGATTTGACATTCACATTATATATATATATAGAAAAAATATATCAACACAAATAAAAACTCAATATATAATCAAGCTTAATTACAAAATAATAAAATTGCCTATCAGTGTATTGCATGATATAAGTTACATTATTAGACTAATTTATAGATAAAGTGTATCATTTTTAATAAAATTAAGAACTTAATTTTTTAAAAGATATTTACAATTCTAAAATAAAAATTTATATTAAAAAGACTAAAGTGTAAAATTTTCAATCAATATTTATGTTAATACAAGTTTTTTACCTCAAAAATTACATTTATAGGCTTTGGGTCTCTTGACCACACCTAACAATTGACTAGTCAAATTTTCTTTTGTGTAAATCTCAAAATGACTTTATTCGTGTTCGTTCGAATAATAAACGAGCTGAATTACATGTTCGAGCTCATATCGATTATCAAATAAACGCGCGCTTAACGAATACGAACGAGCTTTCGTTCGCGAAAGTTGGATTCGTTTGCATCATTAATGTCAGACAACTTTTCAATAACTTTCTTCTCTTACTTCTCTATTGCCTACTCAATTAGCTTCTCAAAGTAATGCTAAGGAGCCAACTGTTGGCTCTATTACGGAGCCAACAACCAATTATACAACTCCATGTGAAGTTGTCCCACATGACTCTAATGTGAGACAACCCCATATGGAGCTGTCCCATTGACTGTTGGCTCCGGAACCAACAGTTGGCTCCCTATCATTACTATAGCTTCTCACACTATCTGAAATTTGTTATAGAAGCCTTTTGACCATGCCCACTTGCTCATATTTATTCTATTTGTGAGAATTGGCCAACCTAAAACATTTTCTCTCTTGTTCATTGAACATAGCTGGAATATATATCATTAGTTAGATGATCACTGTCCCACAGCCCATACCTGAAAAGTACATTCATTTCAACTTGGGTCATTGGATGTTAGCAAGTCAGAAAAGTTCATTGTTGTTCTCCATTATAATATAATAGGCTGCACTAGCAATTGCAGTCAAGAATATGATCTCTACAAGGGGATGATTTATTTTCTTCCATACATTCAACTGGTATTTGTTCCATCTGATTTGGCTATCTTAGGGGGACCATCTAAAAGAGGGATCTATCAATGAATATTTACCACTGATAAATATTTTTTTAGGTCTGTTACAATATCATCTGTGAGTTGTCCCACATCGTTCAATACAGATAAAATATGCCTACCTTTGGGCTACTACTCTTCCTATCAACTAATTGGTTTTGGATGGATACTCACTTGGGCTTCATCTGAGCTCACACTGCTATGGTGCGCTTCACGTGCGTGGGACCGGTAGGGGTGAGCAACAGTGCGGTTCGGTGAAAGCCCGCACCGAACACGCAGAAAACCGAAATCTGAATTTAGCAAAAAATTAACCGAACCGCACTGCAAGTTTTGAAAAAACTGAACCGAATTTTTTTACACTAAATAACCGAACCTCACCGAAATGCACGGTTCGCTTCGGTTTTAGGTTTAAGTTCGGTTTTTCTATATATTTTATTCAATTTGGTTTTTGCATCGAACCCAAATAACCGAAAACTGAACTTATATAAAACTATAACCGCACCACACCGCAATGTAGGAAAAAATCGAACCGAAAATTTTTTACATAAAAAAAGCTGAACTGAACAACACCGAATTGCACGGTTCGGCTCAATTTTTCAGTTTCGGCTCGATTTTGCTCACCCCTAGAGACCGCGCCAGTTTGTCCCCCTTTCTTACAAGGTCTTTGTTTACTCAACTTCAATCCATGTAAAAGCTTTCCTCAAAGTAGTTCATTTACAAGCCATTGTATATTTTTGTTGTCTATATATATGTTTACTTACTTGACTTGATGTTAAAGCTCCTCAAGGTAGGAGAAATGTTAAGGTCCCGCTACAAAACCATTCCGTCGGGATTTGTAACTGTTTGATTATCATGTAACTGTCGGGAATAGTTTATCTAACGGTTACAAACCCTTACAGAATGATTTCATAACGGGACCGTAATATTTCCCGTTAACATAACCCTCAATTTCACAACAAAATACATTATACAGTAAACTGGAATTAATGCATATCACCATCAATATTACTATTAGTCCACATTTATCACAATAGCTAATGTAACATTTTCGTACACACACCAAAAAAAAAAAAAAAA